TCCCCAAGATGTAGTATTTTGCAATAAACTGATCTGAGCACTTCATGCCTTTGCATTTGAGGGTGAATCATCCTGGCGGGAGCCGAGAGCAAGCAATCTCTGGAGGCAGTGCCGAGGTGGCAGTGGGGCAGGTCTGTGCCAGCCCCAGGCAGGGTGGCACTTATGGGGGAGCCTCCTTGTCCCCATCCTGTCTGGGCACGTTGTCATGGCTGAATCTGGGGGCTGAGGGAGAGCATCTGGCTGCTCGTCCTGAGAGCAGCATCTTCTTCTCGGAACTATTGGGGGAATTGGGGAATTATAGAATGGTTTGAGTTGGGAGATCATCTACTCCAATCCCCTGCTGTGAGGAGAGACATCTTCAACTAGATCAGGTTGCTCAGAGCCCCATCCAACCTGACCTTGAATGTTTCCAGGAATAGGGCGTCCATGACTTCTCGGGGTAACCCGTGCCAGTGCCTTACCACCCTCAGCATAAAAAAATACATTTTTCTGTTTAGTCTAAACCTACCCTTTCTAAGTTTAAACCATCACCTCTTGTTCTTTTGCAATTGGCCCTGCTGAAAAGTTTGTCCTCGTCTTTTTTATAAGTCCCTTTTTGGCGCTGGAAGGGGTCTCAGGTCTCCAAGCTGAACCCCCCCAGCTCTCCCAGCCTGGCTCCAGAGCAGAGGGGCTCCAGCCCTTGGAGCATCTCCGTGGCCTCCTCTGTTGCAGGAGCAGCAGAGCCTTCTCCAGGGTGTGGTGGGGAAATGCATGTCTCCCCTTCAGCATAAAAAGCCACCACAAGAAAGTTTTGGGGAGCCGGCCTTGGGCTCCTGTCTCCACCCCTCCGAGAGCTTGGCAGACCCTTCACCCCCCTCCAAGTGAGAGAGGATGCTTTATTTCCTCGGCAGTCAGCCTCTTGGCTGAGCATCCCTCAGCACTGTGCTCCCGACTCTTCCCGCTCCCATCTTAATAACTGTAAAGATCAGGGTTGCCAAGGTCTTCCCGTTGCTATAGTGAGATTAGATAGGGCAGAGCTCTGCATTCCCTCTGCCGAGGGGAGAAATCACTCTCATCCCTTCCCTGGGCTTCACCAGCCAGGTTTTGTTTTTTTTTTCATCCACTGGCAGCTACTAATTGCACCTGAAAGACACTGCTACGTGTTTTGCTGCAATTAATATTTCATAACCTTAAAAAAAAAAATTAAAAAAAAAAAGGAGAGAAATTAATTATCGAGGCATTTTCTCCTGGAACCAACTTAAGAGACTCTCCGTCTGGAACGAGTTTACAGCGCTAACTGTGAAGTTAAAATATTTATCTTCATAAACACGTCACTCGAGCCGTGCTATTCCTCGCAGGGTCATTAGCAAGAGGCACGTTAGTCCAATGAGGAGGTGCCTGGGAGACACAGATTTGCCTTTTGCTTCTGGGCGGGGTTAGGAGATGATTTATTAAACGAATTTGAGAGCTGCGAGTCTGGCCAGACCTCTGAGTCAAACTGCTGTAGGAAAAAAAATCCCACCAGCCGGAGCTCTTTGCAGGCAGAAGATGGGGTGCAGTCATTTTGACACAGTTGATTATTTCCTGGTGTGGAGGTGTCCTCCCCAAAAATTCCCGAGGACGTACAGCAACTGATCCGGGGACCGTCAGATTGCAGGAGGTAGTTTTTGTTTTAATTTTCTTAGGTTTTATTTTAATTCCTTTTTTTTTTTTTGTTAGATTTAATTTTAATTTTATCAGGTTTTATTTTCGCTTCCTTAGTTTTTATTTTAATTTTCTCGGGGGTTTGGGTAGGTTTGTATAAGAATCCAGGTGAGATCTCCCTGAATATAGGAGTGCAGAGCTTGGGGTATGGCACATGTTCCCACCCCTCCACCTCCTTTTTTGGGTTTAAAATGTTGGGTTTGAGCACATAAAGTTTAACCCCCTATGGCCCAATCCCAAACATGCCCTGGAGAGTGATGTCTGTGATCTGCTCTGTGTGTGGGGAGGGGATGGAGGGTTTAGGTAGTAGACTGTTTTTTTGGACTCGGGGCAGTATTTGGTGTATGTTGGGTGCTGGTATCCCAGGACATGGAGTGGGGTGAAGGACACAGGTCTTTTGGAGGTGTTGCTGCATGGTGCACTTCCCAAAGCTCCTGTCTTTGCTGGGGAGCCAGAAGTGTTTGTGTCTGCCTGGTCTTGGGACTGAGGAGGAACATGTAAAGGGAGAGCTAGTGGTGGCCCCGTGGCTGGTGACAGTGGCAGTGAAGATTATTCAAGCTGAGGAGCTGTCACTGTGTTTTTCCCCTCTGAAATCCTCTTCCTCTCCTTGGGTCCCCATCAATCATGTATGCAAATGACATGAGGAATGACACATGGTCTGACCAAGATCATTCCAGGGTCTTGCACCCCAGTCAGTGTGTGGGGCTCGCCCCTTGCTGCACCTTGGGTAGGTGGGAGTGGGATTGAAGAAGTTGTGTGATAACTGTCAGGTTGCACAGGTTCAGAAAAAGAAAGGGAGAAAGTAAGTGATGCTATTGGTGGCCTGGGAAGGGTCTCATTTCCTGTCCTCTGAGCAGATAGGTGTAGCCTTAGCAAGGCTTGAGATACATTAGTCTTCCTCTCCAAGACGAGACCTCAATTTTGGGGTGAAATTTGTGAAAACAGATCTCCTGAGCAGCGCTTTAAGCTCTCTGTGTGAAGAGGGCTGTTGGTAGAGATCCTGTTTTCTGTAGGAAACCATTTCTTGCAGAGATTTTCCAATGGGTCCGAGTTTGTGCCTTCTGCCCTCTTCTCTTCCACGTGCTGGCTGCCGACCTTCCCCAGATGTGCTGAGGTTTACAGCCCGAGGTGCTTGTCAGAAGAGGTTTCTCTTACTTTACTGGCAGGATTTGCTGTGGCAAATGTCACTCAATGTTGACTGCCTGGTCTGCTCTGCTTAGGCAACCTCAAATCTTGATGCTCTCCTTGCTCCTCCCGCTGCCCTTGGCTCGTGGTCGGGCTGGGAAGCGCTGGCTGGTGCTCTCCACATACTCTGTTCACACATTTTTCGTCAGCTCTGTCATGACTTAATCTGATCATCATTCAGCAGTGATGGCTAAATGGCACGGGGTGTGCTCAGCACTAATCACTTGAAGGAGATGTATGCAAAGGTTACATCCTGGTGGTAAATGTCATGCCCTGTGCAGTTCAATCAGGGCTGATATTTATGCGATCACTGGAGATCAGTGGAGACTGCGTGCCAGGTGGAGAGCCCTCGTCCCAGAGAAACACAGATATTTTGGCTGCAGCAGGACCTAACCCCCATTTCTGGGAAGTTGCATTGGCTGCCCTTTTCCAGCAGAAGGTTCCTGCTGCTGGTGCTTGGGTTGCAGCTGCCACAACGAGCATCCTTGGCTCACGGGAACAGGGACCTTTTGAAGGAGCAGCAGCTTCTGCTTCACCAAGTGTGACCTGGTGGCATCGTGGTCGGTGTCCTGGATGGGTGGACCTGGATTATTTCTGTTCTCAGTCCTGTGTCTTTTTGATATAAAACAGAGGAAGGAGTCCCTGGTAGGTGCTTCCAGTTCAGCTCCTGTGACAGTGGAGTTGAGACTCTGCATGTGGAAGGGACCTGGTAGAGCTTTGGCCCTGGTGTGAAACCTACCCATGGGTGTCCAGGTGAGGAAATCTCTTTCTGGAAAGCCATGGGAGCTGAAGGGTGTGATTGCCCTTTGTAGAGTGAGTTTGTTATAGTTTTAGGGAGAAGAGGGTTTTGGAATAGTATAAAACTTGGTATAAGTTTTGCTCTCAGGAGTTTCCAGGGATGTCTAAAACCAAGAGTGGAGTAAAGGAAAGATCAGAGTGGGCTGAGGAAGAACACACAAGGGAGAATAAATGGAAAAGTGGAATAAAATCAGCTTCCCTGGGTGTGGGGATAGTGGGGGGGTGTCACAGCAGGGGTGAGGGCTGGATTTGGTGTCTGGGGGTGCCTACTGGAGGTCAAATAGCAGGAAACGAGCTGTGATGGTCATGATGAGGCCGATGGTGGACTGGCAATAGGAGTGGGAAAATAAGTAGCAGCAATAGGCTGCAAGGGAGCAACTCCATAGGGTATTCTCAAACTACCACAGAGACCTTGAGGGTGTGGGGCGTGTCATAGTTAGAGTACTGAATGGTGCTTGCAACTGGTCAACTACTCAACTGGCTTTTTTCATACTCTGTGATGGAGTGGGGCTGTGTGGGACCAGGATGCTCAGCCCTTGTCCGTGCTGAGGAGCAGCAGACACCCACGAGCATGCAGGTACCAGCCCTAGTGAAACTATCCATGTGTTACTGCTGCATGGGGGAATGCGGGGGAAAACCTGGGATACGCTGAGGGGGAACAGGGAGAGAGGGGAGGATACTCTCCCAGTTTCCTTTGGGGTGCTGCAGGGCGCTTGGAGCTCGTCTTTGGTGATGGGGGTGTCCCATTCCTTGCCACTGCAGCCCTTGCTGCTGGCTGTGGTGTGTTCATCTCCCGCTTTCCCAGCCGTGCCAGGAGACATGAATTATGTATGGCCACTAAAACTCTCACCCTGTTGCTTCTGATTACAGAGAAATTACGGGTTACTGGGCCAGACTGTGCAGCCGGTGACGTCTGTGGGGCTCTGATGCCCCGGGCAGAATTCGGTCAATGATGCGTTGCTAAGTGCAGGTGTTCCAGCAGCAGCCTGACCTCAGCCCTGGAGCTCTTCTTTATCCCAAGCCTGGATTTCACAGGGAACTTGCAAGCCCTGAGACTTGCCTCAAATCGTCTGTATAATTTTTTTTTTTTTTTTTTGGGGCAAGGCATCTGTTTTGGGTGCTGTTTCCCGTGACTCAGAGGGTAAATAGCAGTTGCTGCGCTCACCTGGTTTGCTTGCTAAAAATGAATGTGAAACAGCTCAGGGGCTTGTTTCCTGGTTGTTTCCTTCTATTTCGGGCGAGTTCATCCCTGATTATGGGCTGTCAAACCTCAGAAATTCGTAACTGTCTGTCCACTCTCTAATTTTTTATTTTATTTTAAATGGAACAGAAAAGGAACATAGACTTCTTTCAGTGTGAAGTCATAAATACTGCTGAGAGGAGGTGGATTTTGCAGGACTCCTGGTGTACAACAGGTGAGGATGCATGCCTAGGTAGTGATGCAAGTGTGAGGAGCAGCCCCATTTCTTGGCAGTGGACAGTAAGTACTAAGAAGCTTTATCATGAGCACATTAAAACATTTATGTTCAGCTCCACAGATTTCCCTTGGGCCATTTGTTGTGATATGTCATATTGGGAATGTCGTGAAGAGGAGGACTGTCTTTCTCTGCTACATTTGAGACCTACAAAGCTGTAATTATAGTCATTATTTCAAGGCCATTTCCCATTCTGTGGTGCCCAAGTGGGCAGAAGGACAGAATTGGGCAATGAAGGTGTTGGAGGTGGTGTGGATTTACATCCAGGCAGGACTGTGCTTGGTGTTGGAGGAGATGGGAAGATGCATGTATGAGTCTGGGAGGAGGTGGTTGCACAATATGTGCCCACAGAATCACAAAAGCACTCACAAGCACACTTGCACACACTTTTTTACTCATGTTGGACCACTGTCCCACAGCACTGACTGTTATGTGTCCCTCTGCCACGTGCTGGAGTTTGCTGAGATCACCTTGGCTTGCAGGGAACTGTAGATAAGACAGAGCACCTCTCCCACGAGGAAAGGCTGAGAGAGTTGGAGTTGTTCAGGCTGGAGAAGAGAAGGCTCCAGGGAGACCTTATAACCCCTTCTAGTTCCTAAAGGGGCTTTGAGAAAGATGGGGACAGTCCTAGCAGGGCCTGTTGCAATATCACAAGGGGTATGGATTTTAAACTGAAAGATGATCCATTTAAACTAGATACAAGGAGGAAGGTTTTTACAATAAGGCTGGTAAAACACTGGCACAGGTTGCCCAGAGAGGTGATGGATGCTCCATCCCTGGCAACATTCCAGGCCAGGATAGGTGGGGATCTCATTGAAGATGTCCCTGTTCATGGCAGGAGTTTGAATTGGATGATCTTTAAATGTCTTTCCCAACTCAAACCCCTCTGTGATGCCTCCTGGATCCTGGCATCAGTCAGCTCTTATGTGCAGATGGGAATGCTGCTGATCCCCACAGTTGCTGCATGGCAGGTAACTACAGACAAGTCAGCCTGTGGGGGGAAGTAAGGTGAGGACAGGTAGCAAAAAGCTGATGTTGAGGACTGAAATGCATCCCAGGAGGTGAGGTACCCCTGGGGGCACACCTGGGTGTCTCCCTCCTTTGGCCACTGCCTCCCTGTGTGACCACAACAGGTCCCTCCAGGTTTTGTGTTTCCACTGCTGTGTTGGTGGAGCACCTCCTTGCTTTTCCAGGGCAGGGATTGTCTTTGATGTTGCAAGTAAAGCAGTAGTGGCTGGCCTAGCATGATAATATGCCTTCTTGGCAAGGTCTGTGGACCTCTCTGTAGTATGGATGGGTAATTGTAGTGACACAACTTCAGCCAGTGCCCAAAGCCAGTAGCTGTGGTTCTTCTGATGTTTCCATCCCTGACTTTCCAAGATGTTAAAGTCTGCAGTGAAGTGACCCTGACTTTCATCAACCATCCAGACTTTTAGATCATTGCCTCATAAAACTTGTGCAAAATAAACACAAAGTTCAAAACAAGGGATGGCTTGGATTTTCCTCTGGACCCCAGAGATTGTTATATTGATCTTTTCAAACTTTATAGAACGCAGTGACAGATTGGCAAATTGGGTGGGATAATCACCTGGAATGAAAGAGGTCGATGAAAGAGTTTTGGGGCAGTGAAAAAGAGATGGGGAACCTTAGACTGCTGGCCATCCAGTTAACCTAACTATAGCCAAGCAGTGTCCATCTTCATGGAGAGGGCTGTTAAGCATTGGAAGGGGCTGCCCAGGGAGATTTTGGAGTCCCCATCCCTGGAGATGTCCCAGGAACGACTGGACGTGGCACTCAGTGCTCTGGGCTGGGTGACAAGGTGGGGATCAGTCAGAGGGTAGCCCTGATGGCCTTGGAGGGCTTTTTCAGCCTTAATGATTATTAATCAGTCAGGAGGTGGGATGATCCTGTGTGATGTAGTTGGTGGCAGGTGGGAGTGGCTCCGGAAAGAGAGGACTTGGAATGGGCAGCACAAGGGAGGAGCACACAGCTCAGTCCCATCTGGTGGGAGACTGGAGCTGAATGTTTGTTGTGGTGCTAATTTCTGCTAATGAGCAAAGGGCAAGGCTTGAGATCCAGCTGCTTGGATGGGTTGGGGTTTTAGAACAGAACAGGGTTGGATTAATGCAAATTTAATCAAATTTGAGAGGGAGAGTGGTTTTATTTTCCCTTTTAAATCCTCTGTGGGCTCTTCACAATGAACTTCTGGTGACTTCCATGGTGTGAGTTCTGCTCAGGTTCCATGCACGACCCTGACTAAGCCACTCTAGATGAGATACATTAAACTGATTTTGGTGGGTACCTAAATAAGGGCTGGAATCCCCGTGCACCTGGTCCTCAGCTATGAATCCTGTGAGTTAATCCCATCTGGGGACTACCCAAGCACATAGGCTTAAGTGTGTTTATCTGGTAATTGAATTCCTGTGCTTTTTTTCCCAACTGGGGGATCAGAAATGATGCTTTTCTCCCAACCTCTGTGAGGTTTATGGGGCACCTGGAAAGATGGGGCTACAGCAGTGTGGAGCTTTCCAGAAAAATAGGAGGGAATTTGCCATCTACTCCTTGTGATAGTGATTTGTAAAGCCAGCTGATGCCTGTGGACTAGTGATCACAGGGGTAGATCTTTCAGGTCTGTCTGATGCTTTGGTTTCTTTGCTCCTTTGTAGGTGGAGGTGGCTGAAATTTTAGGGCCCAAATCCCCAGGAGACCATCTGAGCAAGTTATTTTTGCTGTTTTTTTTTTTTTTCTTTTAGTCAAAAGGCCTCCTCCCTTCCCCTTCAAAGCCTTCCTCTGCTCTTCATTTATTCCTCTGAAATCATCCTGTTTCCTTCTTCCCACCAGGATTCCCTCCCTACCAAGAAAACCCAAGCTGCATATTTTAATGCTTGAGATAGATATAAAATATGATTGAGGGTCTGGGCACCTCCATCACAAAATGCCTGCCATGCCTGTGAAGGTTTTTCCAAACAGCTACTGCCTGCAAATGCTGGCTGTGAGGAGACTGGCCTCTTGGAGAAGGGCTTTTTGCATTAGGTGACTGTGTGCTGGGGTTCAGAGCACCACTGAATGCAGGCTGGGTGATTCCCCTCCAATCAGTGGGTTTTCCAAGCCCTTATTCCCATCTCCACATACCCAAGGGACAGTCTGGAGGAGCACAAGCTCTCAGTACCTCTGGTGTAATTCATCCTCACTGGGCAGCATCCCTAATTTTGCTGTCATTTGCGAGGGTGCAGCTCTGATGGCTCTGCTGGGAGCGTTATCCCTGCACGGTAATGGAGGAGTAGTCAGGGTTTTTTTAATCACTTATTCCAGATGTAATTCCCAGGCTGTTCTGAGTCATGTCAAGAGCTGCAAAACAAGGCGTCCAGCCTCCGTCCCTCACGTTGGGCAGCCGATGACATCGGTGGTGCACAGCACTCCTAGCCCTGCCTGCCGTGCCCTGGCTCTGCACACACACAGCCCCGGGAAAAGAGAGGTCCCTCTCTGCTAGAAAAAAGAAGTGCAAGGGGCAAAAATGTGAGCCAAAGGGCGTTTTGCCACAGTGACAGCGAGCGTGGCTCTCAAAAGCTGTCTCGGAGCTGTTCTGCGGGTCTGTGGGAGTGATTTAAAACACGCACATACTGTGAGGAAAACCACCTGGCAGCCAGGGGAGACGCTGCATCTCAGGAGGAGGGTGTGGTTTAGGAGGTACCATCTGCTCCCTGCAGTACAGGGTGCTGTTAGGGAGCATGGATAGGTGGCTGTTGGGAGGAGAAAGAAGAGGGGTGAAATGGTGCCTCCCATTGTTGCCCAGAGAGGTGGTGCGTGCCCCACCCCTGAAAATACTCAAGACCAGCTCTGAACCTGATCTAGTTGAAGATGTCTCTGCCCATGGCAGGGGAATTTGGACTAGATGACCTTTAAAGGTCCCTTCCAACCCAAAAGATTCTATGGTTCTGTGATTCCCAGGGGCTCTGTATTTCCCATAAGGCTGCTTTGGGTGAAGGCCAGAGATACATCTGGCCAGGACTGTGGGTGCCCAGATATGCTCGACGGGGAGAAGCATCCTGGGATCCCCTGGGATGAGATTTCTGGGAAGGAAACGTCCCATCTCCCTCAACCCAGAAGGCTGGGGGAGATTGGGTTAACAACTCATTATTGCTGGTGCACTCAGGGGGCAAGGCGGTTTTACTTTGTTTTATTTTGATGTTAAAGATATCCTTTAAAGAAGTGTCAGCCCATAGATTGTCACTTTTATGATTCAAAAATTGTAGCTGCTTGCCTGGGGTGTATTCGAGAACAGCAAGGAAGAGACTGTATTAGATTAACAAGTGAGGGTTTAATCCATTCTCATTATTTGTGTAATAATGTCCTCTAATTAATAGGTAATGGGCAGCCTCTGGATTAATCCATGAGTGGGGTCTGCAGTGATGCCATCAGAAAAGGATTTTATTGCTGGGAAGTACAGCTTTGTTTAGTTTTTCTAGTAAATTTAGTAACTGTGAGAGCCAAAGGGTGTCTGTGAGAGTGTGTGCAGTGCCTGGGGTGGTAGGGTCTTTCAGGGACAACATGCAAATTCCCTAAATGCATCAGACCTGGAACGCAACCAGGGTTTTGTTCAAATTCTATAGCTGGTCTACTGCAGGCAGGGGCCAGCCAAGAAGCTGTTCCTGTGTTTTAATCTGCCATAAGTAGGTTGGAAAGTAGCTGCTTGTATCGTGGCCATGGTTTCCCCCTGTTTTGTCCTTAAAAACCTACCATGCTGTCATTTTGGTGTCCCTTCTTCAGCTGGTGGATGGATACCTTCCTGCTGGTCTACAGGCACAAGAGTGGTTCCTGTCTCAGAGACATGCCAGGAGGGGGATCTCTCTCTCTATCTCCATCTCTGTTTCTCTCTTCTTTCTTATGCTTTGGTTATGACAGTGTTTGTGATAAGTGGAACAGGATTACTTCAGATACAGATCTTGGCATGAAGCAAAACCTCATATTAAATTTTTGGGGTGGAAAGGAGATAGAAGATGGGAGGCCAGCCTCTTCACTGAAGGTAGGTCCTGGCAGCAGGTAGGACTTGAGGCTCAGAGAACTGCAGGATGCAGCATTTGGAGAGCTCACCTTGTGAGATGAAACAGGCAAAGGGATGCAGATGTAGAGGAAAACTGGGAAAGCAATGGGATGTAGATCCAGGATAGCTGTTTCTTGGTTTTCTTCTTCACCAAACTGCCTTAGTGCTGTCCCACCTTAATTCTGGTGACTATTTTGCCCCAAGAGATTGAAAGACTTTTCCCTACATCCTGATGTGCACTTAAACACTGGCCCAGGTTGCCCAAAGAAGCTGTGGCTGTTCCATCCCTGGAAGTGACCAAGGCCAGGTTTGATGGGGCTTGGAGCAACCTGGTCTAGTGGAAGGTGTCCCTGCCCATGGCTGGGGGTGGAATGAGATGAACCTTAAGGTCCCTTCCAACCCAAACCATTCTGTGATGTTGTTTCCTACGGTGATAATCATGCTGCCTTCAGAGAGATGTTGTGGATGTGGCTTTGGCTCTGTGTTGGGATTTGCACCTGCTTGTACCAGCAGTGAGCTGAGACCTTAGAGCTTATTTAATTTCCTTTCAGTTAATCCACTCCCATCCTCAGATGGGAGAACTTCAGATACCTGCCCAGGGAGTTTTTCCGCTTGTTTTCCACTGAACTCTTGTGAGATACCATGGTCTTTGAGTGATGCTTATAGGCTCTGTCAGAGGAGAAACATTGTTCTGATGGACAGCAGGTATTCTGGAAATAAATTACACAAAATCCCCCAGATTGTGGAAATAAAAAATGTGTATTTTTGTTGCTTCTGTGGCTGTGAACAATCTCGCCTCACCAAAGGCTGCACTTCAAAAGAGAAAACACAATTTGGCTAAAATTGCCTGAATGAGGTCATAAAATTATACTCCATGAATGGTCCCGTTATTCACAAAGCACAGTTGCTTGGATGGAAATTGCTGAGGACCTTTCACTGATACAGTGAGGAAAAGGCAGAGGTTTCATGAGCCTCCTACAGTTTAGCTGCTGAGGGGATTAATACTAATGTAGCAGCCAAATACCCTGTTAGAGCCCATTTATTCTCTACTATACTCCAGGGGCAGTTGCTCCTTGGATGTGATCTTGAGCAGAGCTCATCAGATACTGCTTGCAAGGAAATACATTTATTTTATACCTCAAACATCAAAACGTGTGTCCAGGAACTCCTTTCCCAAAGCCTGGAGCTCTTCCTTGCCATTGCTCCTTTCTGTGAGTTGCTACTCATGTGTGGGATGCTTCTGAATGTGGTGTTGGTGGGAGAAAATACCTCATGCAGTGGATTCTCCACTTGCCTGCAATGACAGAGAACTCCTACATGAGCGAAATAGTTACTGAAATTATTTGCTGTGCCAATCAACAAGGTCTGGACTCGTTCTTGAAGAGTCAAGGAACCTTTAATGCATCTTGCCTGGAAGAGTGCATGTGCATCAAGTCTTGGATGCACCACCTTAGTGCTTTGGTCCAGTACTCACACACCTGGCAGGCTCAACAGGATTTCCTTCACTGCCTTGATTTCCAGCTGGAGGATTCCTGCTGATGAAAAGTGCAGGTCTGACTTTGTACCGACAGGTTTTCAGTTTAGGAGTCCAGAGAAAATGAGCAGCCTTAAATTAATGGCTGTATTAATAGCCTTTAATTGTCAGAGGGCAGGGTTAGATGGGATATTCTTGGCCGTGAGGGTGGTGAGGCCTGGCACAGGTTGCCCAGAGAAGCTGTGGCTGCCCCTGGATCCCTGGAAGTGTCCAAGGCCAAGTTGGACAAGGCTTGGAACAGCCTGGTCTGGTGTTTCTGCGCATGGCAGGGTGGGTAGAAGTAGATGATCTTTAAAGCCCCTTCCAACACAAATCATTCTAGGATTCCCAGGAACTCTGTATTTCTCATAAGATTGCTTTTTAATTTTTTTTGTAGTTCAGCAGGTGAAGAGCCAACTTCTGTTAATAAGAGATTTTGGCTGAGCTTCAGGCATCGAAAGTTAAAAATCTGCAGAAGGGCATGGATTAAATACAGAAGTGTGGAGAATGGAGGAAAGGCTGAATGCGAAGAGGCTGCTTCTTCTGTCCCTAACCTCAAAAAGGCGAGAGGTAAAGGGATCCAGAGAAAGGACAACAGGGAAGAAAAGCAAAATATAGATCTCCTTTTTTTTTTTTTTCCCTCCTTCTTTTGCTATTGCATTAATTCTCTTTTTTCTGCAGGTGTCTTACAAAAGCAGTGTTTTGTCCTCTTCTGTATTTCGTGCCTCCCATGTCCATGCCAGGATACCTGCTTTTATATGGTGGACAATGGGAGTGCAGCTGGCACTGAGCTGAAGCCTGAGCTGTTCTGCACCTCATGTGGATTCGAGTTCAAATAAACAGTTTGACTCGCTCAAGGAGTGAATCAGAAGAAGGAACTTGAGCCTCTAGCCTACAAGCACCGTGCTGTGAAAGCAAGGTGTATAAACATATGAGTTATTCTTTAGTGTGCAGTTCAATGTGAGGCTTGTGCTTGGAGGAGAGTCGGCGCTTCAGACCTCCCGTAGCCCTGTTCAGGGTCTTGGTGGAGAGTGCAGGGATATCTTGGATTAGACTTTACAGAAGGAGAGTGAAGTCTCTTGTAGGTTGGTTATCTGTCTGGTTCTCAGGTTTATCTTTGGTGCTAAGTGCTTCCAGTTTGAGTAAATGACAATGTTAAGAGGTAAAAACAGGAAAAGCAACCCATCCAGAGCCCCCACAGCAAAATGGGGATAAGGTGTTACTAATGGCAGGGGACTCTATACTCAGATTTCTTGCTGTTGGACAAAGTAGGTACCTTGTTAGCAATGCCTGGGGACAGGTTCTCCTGGCTGGACTGACTCAGAAACACTTTGGTCCATCAGTCACTCAGCAAGGTCACACCAGAGTGGTGACAGATTAAAGCCTAATGGTGCAAGTTTTCCTTTAGCCATTGTCTATCCAAGCTGGATGGGAACCACTGAGTATGACAAGGGGGAGTGGTTTGAAACTAAATGAGGAGAGATTTAGAATAGATGTTAGCAAGAAACTCTTGCTTGTGAGGGTAGTGAGACCCTGACACATGTGGCTGCCTCATCTCTGGAAGTGTCCAAGGCAAGGTTGGACACAGCCCTGAACAACCTGACCTAGCAGGTAGCATCCCCATGGTAGTTGGGGGTGGAACTAGATGATCTTTAATCACTGTTCTGTGATTCTATGTGACATCTTCTAGCAGGGTACAGCTTCCTACAGCCCAAGTTCCTGGTGAGCACTGCAGCCGGTCTGGGGTCTCTGCTGAGTCCCACCACCAGCCTGTGGAAAAGCAAGAATGGGTGTGACCACCCATGTGTCCCCAAAAGTCTTCACCAAGGCTTTTGGTCAATGGATTTGCTTATGTGCACAAGTGTTACTCATATGAAGTATAAGTATGCTTATCTGCACGTATGTTACTCATACTCGTTGTGAGACGATGCCTTTGGTTCTCATTGCTGTCTGGTTTTGTCTTGCCTCCAAAGCCTTGCAAATCATTCATGGCATGACATGGTCATCTGTGTATGGGAGGTGAGATCTACTCAGAAATTGTTTTTATTATGTGTTAGCACTAGCAGATAAATAATGTTCCCTCTGAGTTGTGCACGGGGAGACAGTTTTCTCCTGTGCCTTCAAATCAAGTGGTTAATAAAAGCCATTAATCCCCATGAATGACAGCAGTATATTAGAAGTGAAACACATGTTAAAATAATTTGAGAGGCTGTTTTCAGGTCATAGGCTAACCCATTCTCTTCATATATAATATTTTCATGAGGTGTAAACACTTCCAGGCTTGAGATGTTGGCTGGAGATCAAGCTTTGGGAATGTACAGAGGTGGATCATCCATCTGAGGGTATCAGCATCACAGTCTGGACCAAAACTAAACTGAACTTCCAATGTAAGTTAATTAAAGTAGATTTAGATTGGATATTAGGAAGAAATTTTATACTGTGAGGGTGGTGAGGCCCTGGCACAGGTTGCCCAGAGAAGCTGTGGCTACCCCTTCCCTGAAAGTGTTGAAGGCCAGGATGGATGGGGCTTGGAGCAACTTGGGCTAGTGGAAGGAGTCCCTGCCCATGGCAGGGGGTTTGGAACTTGGATGGTCTTAAAGGTCCCTCCCAGCCCAAACCATTCTGTGATTCTGTGAATTCAAAAGTTGAATTTGGGAAAGCCTGAACTATGCATAAGCTTAAATTGAATTTGGCAAGTGGACGTGTTGAAAATCTCCAGGGAGAGTTAATTTATTTTTAATGTCCAGGCATTTCATGTGAGATGACAAAATGAAATGTGTCATTTTGGAAATGCCAAAACATTTTGACATCTTCTCAATGAAGCTTTTTAATTTTTTGTTTGGAAAATACAGTTAACAGTTAGAAGGAGGAAAGGTTAAACAAGACTTGGTAGTGAACTAGTACATTTTGTTTTGATTCAAACAAAACATGTAGGGGTAGCAAACTTTTTCTTTTTCCATCTTGCCGAACCCCTTTCCCTTCCCCCCCAAATCTGTTTCTCATTGACTCAAGCTATTTTTCTCTCACTTTTAGCACAAATAAGAGAGTCACTGGATTAAAAAAAATTAATTTATTCACCCCTTCCAGCTCCCGGAATGCCCTGGTTTGGAAATTGTGACAAGAACTGATGGAAAACCCTTGCGGGAATAGGTAGAACAACCCCTTAGCATCTGGTGATCCTAAAGACAGGATTTCATGGTGGGGCTGTAAGGAGGCCTGTGATGCCCAACGCAGCATCCCAGCCCTCCCTGGCCATCCTGGGCTCCACAGGTGAGCAGGTGGGACCCTGAATAACCCAATGGCAGGAGTTACTGAGGGGCCACTGGGGGGCTGGAGAAGGTGATGAGGCACTTTGGGGAGGTGGCACCACAGCTTATGGAGCATTATCCCAGCTGAACCCACCAAGCACAGACAGGTGGTGGATGCCCTGTCTCTGGGAGTGTTCAAGGCCAGGCTGGATGAGTCTTGGAGCAACCTTGTCTAGTGGAAGGTTCCCTGCCCATGGCAGGGGCGTTGAACGAGGTGGTCCCTTCCAACACAAACCGTTCTATGATTTTACAGTTCTAAGCTGCTGTGCTCTCCTACCACCATCTTCCTATCTGCCTGAAAGCAAACTCTGTTGTTTTTTTTCTGGGCAGTGCCTCTTTTTTGGAGATTAAACTCAACAGACAGCTCAGTGGTGCAAGATGTTTTGCTTTGTAGGGCTTGTTACCACCCGTCTGGAGGTGGAGCGAGACTGTTCCGACACTGGGTACTGCAACAAGCCATTGATCTTGACGTGCCCTCTTTGCAGGCAGTAATGTGTGTTCTTTCCTTAGCATTTTGGGCAGGAGATGCATCATGCTGCCTGCTGGAGCCCAGGGAGGAGCATCATCAAAATGAGGGATGCCAGAGACTTAATTGATCTTTGAGGATCAGCCCCCAGCTCATTTCTGTCTTCAGCTCCTTTCTACTGTAATCATTCCCCTGGGTTCGAAGAACTGGTAAGAGAAGAATTTTGCTTTGGAGTGAGCCTCTACTAGTTTTATGCTGGGTTCTGGAGGAAACCATGCAATATTCAGTAGGAAGGAAACAGATGAGATCGGAAAAAAAAAATAAAAAATCACAGGGTTGTCCAGAAATTACTCTGAAAAAGCTGCTGAATTTCCAAACCAGAGCATGAAAACCTTTGTGCCTTTTTCCCCTATTCAAACCATCCCTTTTCAATCTGCGGGGATGTAATTCTCTGTCGTGTTATCAGTTGCTCAGCAGCCCATTCCTGCCAAAATACTGGCAGCCTTTTTTGCAAGGGCAACATCATCAAATGGAGGGGCTGAGGAGATTGGAGGTCAGGGCTGGACAATTTGACTTCCCTAATTGCCAGGCAAAGCTTCCAAATTCATCCCAAAAGCAAGTCAGGGGTGGTTGGGAGGCGTGGGGGGTGGGGAGTGAGGGATCCCACTGGAATTGCTGGAGAATCCCAATTCCCGCTGGTGACTCGGAGCTGTCAACGCCACGACGTGCGAGACGGAGGTCTCAAACCTCTGGAGGGACATTTTGCACAGTGTGGATCCAGTAGCTGTCATCCACATCCGAGGTTTGGGAAGAGCTGTGTGCGGAGGGGTGGCAGCATCCTCGTAGCTTTTGTTTCTTTAATTGCTAACAGCAAGGCATTGCTCTTCACTGGAGGAGAGGGGGGAGGCTCAAGTTCATATTTTCTCTTCTCCTGTTACTTTTACCTGACTCGCTTCACTCTCTGCTGGTGGATATTTCTGCTGTTAAGATAGACTTAACTAGCACCAGAGCAGTACTTATTGTTTTTTTTAGAGCTCATTTAATGAGATGGCAATAGGGAAATGTCACCAAACATTTGCTTGGTGCTGCCTAAGTGTTGGTGTAGCAGGGCCTTCAGATGGTTGCCCTTATGTGGGGGAAAAACGTTTTGTGTTACTCATGCTGTAAACAATTGTGTCTGGAAAAGGCAACTTGTAGCTCTCTTTGCCACAGGGTGCAAGGCAAAATTCATTTTCTGTGTCAGCAGCAGAGTTTGGAGGGGATCTGGAAGGGATTTGTGTGGCTTGATAGGTAAAACTAAACCTGCTCTGCATGGTGGTTTTTCTTTTGCTTTAGCTGCTGTGGCCCTAATCCTAAAAAAAGGCAGAGTTGTCACCCTTGGGCTATTTTGTGCAAATCCCTGATGCACTAGTGACTATTTGTTGGTGAGTTTGTAAGTGACTATTGTTGGTGATGTCTCTGCTTGACACAATGGGGAGAGATACCGTAGAATCCAAGAAGGGTTTGAGTTGGAAGGGATCAAAAGATCATCTTAGAAATCATCTCATTCCACCCCCTGCCATGGGCAGGGACACCTTCCACTAGCCAAAGTTGCTCCAAGCCCCATCCAACTTGGCCTTGGACACTTACAGGGATGGGGCAGCCACAGCTTCTCTGGGCAACCTGTGCCAGGGCCTCCCCACCCTCACAGAGAATTCCTTCCCAACATCCCATCTAACTCTGCCCTCTGGCAGTGGGAAGCCATTCCCCCTTGTCCTGTCCCGCCATTCCTTGTCCAAAGTCTATTTAGGCTGTCTGTGTTTTATTTTTTTCTTTATATAGTGCAAGTGGGGAGTGCCCACATGATGATACAAAGCAGGGAGAGAAATGCTGCTAAATGCTGATTATTTCTTCGGGTGGGCACTGCAAGGGTTCACTCAGAGGTGTGGGGGGAAGGTTGTTTTTGTGATTCTGTAAATGGCTGCACTTAAAGATGGTGATTTGAATTGCTCTGATCCCTAATATATATTTTTTTTTATTTATATATATTTATTTGCCTGGGTACAGCCAGTGGGGCAAGGCTTTGGCTTAACCTCCCCCCGCCTCCCTTATT